GGCGGATCGAACCTGCAGAAACGTGGGCATGGGATCCTGAAATTGCATGAATGATGTTTGTCCCTGGAGATCGGCAGGGAGACCACGAAGCATTTGAAGGACGAGTTGGTGTTGGGAGACTGGTGCATCAACATCATCCAGCCAGTCGGCAAGATTCTGCAGTTGTTGGCAATAGGCTGCCATAGTGGAGTTGCCCTTGACTGTCGTGCGAAATTCATGTTCCAATTGCATAGCTCGAGCATGTTTGTTGTCGTGGAACAAGTCGTGGATGACTTTCCAGAGAGCAGAGGCAGTAGAGACAGAGGAGATGACCAGATCTGAGACCTCATCGGTGATGGTGGAGAGGATCCAACCCTGGAGGAGAGCGTCGAGTTGGAACCATTCGTCGTCGTCATCAGAGAGGGGGACGACGGAGCCATCGATGTAGCCCTTGAGGTTGAATCGCCGAACAAGAAGAAGGAAGAGTCGGCTCCACTTTTTGTAATTAGGTTGGGAGAGACTGAGTTGAACGGGGACATGAAGTTTCACGTTTGAGATTGTTGTGAAAGCAAGATGAGGAGGTTTGGAGGAGTTATTTTGGGAAGTGATCTCGCTGTGTTCGGCCATGGTGAGGGGAAGAAGAGGACCGCCGAGGAGGAGAGGGTGTCGCCGGTGAGGAGAGCTGCCGTAGGGAGAGTCGGCGCTGACGGCGAGAGAGAAGGCAGAACGAGAGAGAGGGGGTTTAGGGTTTTTTATTTTTAGGCTCCGATACCATGTAGAAAGGTTAATTTCATTAATTGAATATGTGGGAGTACATGTCTATATATACACAAGGATTCCTAATCCTATACAAGCTAGGAGTCAATAATAGGAAACAATATATTCCTAATCCTATACAAGGTAGGAGACAATAATAGGAAACAATATATTTACATTAAATATAGAATATATTTAACAGTATGCGCTATATATCCCAAATTAAATTATAATTTTTACATTACGAAGTAAAACTTCGTAGTTTTTTAAATTATTTTATTTAAAAATTTGTATAAGAATAAAAAACAACTTACATAATAAAAAACTACTTCAAAAGTTTCACAAAAAAAAGGTGAGATAAATATTTTATCTTATCAAATAATCAATGAAAACACAAAAATAAACAAAAGTTATCTAGATGTGAGAGATAAAAATTTCAACCAATTTGGGGAAAGAACGAGTATTATTTTGATTCTGCATCACGGCTAAAATCTTGTTACATTTCCCATGTAGATCTTTTACAATTAGCAGGCTGACACATAATTTTCTGTGTAGAAAAAAGGAAAACAAAGAAATAAAATTAATGAGTGAAATATTCACACTATAAAAAAATTAAGTCCCCAAATTAAAGGAAAAAAACAAACTTTTGTGAAGTAAACACAGTGGAGAAGAATAAAAGATTTAAAAGCCCCATTATTCTCCAATCAATTTATATATACACAAAAGAACTTCGGAAATAATGATGGAGTCCTACTTTCACAGTTCGAAAAATCAATACTATTTGGAAGTTCCATTTTCTCCTTGCATTGTTGCGGAGTAAAAAATTCCAAAATGAATATAATTGTGAATTCATGGCAATAGTAATGAGAGTGAAGTTAATGGAGTTAACGGCGTAAGGGTAGTGTAGGAATGAAAAAGTAGTGTACCATCTACAAAGCATGAATATACTTCTTTTTTGGATGCAAAAAGTGCAAAAATTAAGGTGTTCCTAACTTTCTTTGGAATATATATATATAATATATATATATATATATATAAACACACACACACACATACATACATATACATACATACACACATACATACATATATATATATATATATATATATATATATATATATATATATCTGTGTGTGTGTATGTATATCGCCATATCGGTGTGTGTGTATAGGGATTGACTCCAGTGAGATGACATGCTTCGGTCAGATGACACAAAGCTCACCACATTACACTATAAAGCTCACCAATGGACAATGCAAAGCTTACCTGGAAATAAAGCAAAGCTCACCACTTTGAACCCCAAAACTCGCCTTTTTTTAATTTTAAAAATTAAAAAATTAATTAAAAATAAAATAACAACACCGGTCAACCACCGGTCAACGACAACGGAGCAGCGGCGGCAACCGGAACGACCGGCGGCTGGAGACCGGAGATGACTGGCGGCGGCGACAGCCGGCGGTGACAGACGGCGGTGGCGGCCGGAGTCCGGCGGCGGCGACCTGCGGCGGCTGCCGGAGATCGGAGATCGGCGGCGGCTGCCGGAGATCGGAGATCGGCGGCGGCTGCCAGGGATCAGAGATCGGCGGCGGCTGCCGGAGATCGGCGACGGCGGCCGGCGACCGGCGGCGGTCAATGCTGGCGGTCAACAGTCAAAGTCCATTCAGCATCCCTTCCTTTGATTTTATTTTTTGGAAAAAAATTCAAAGTGTTGAAAAAATATGGTGAGGTTTGCCTTACACTTTGGTGAGCTTTGTAGTTGTCTTTGCTGAGCTTTGCAGTGGCTGGTGAGCTTTGTGTCATCTGACTGAAGCATGTCATCTCACCGTAAGGTGTCATCTCACTGGAGTCAATCATATATATATATATATATATATATATATATATATATATATATATATAATCACAAGAATGTTGGGAATTAGACACACAACACACACAAATAATCAGCGAGAAACGAGAGAAACGGAACACGGACGACACACAAGAATTTAACGTGATTCGGTTTCCCTACTCCTCGGCTGCAACAGGAGGATTCATATTTCACTTGTCGTGTCTCACGGAATTACAAGTACAAGGGCTAATATATAGGAGAAAAACCTAGGGTTACAAAACATGAACTGGGCCTACAAGTCAAGCCCAAGCCTCCACAAACCCAACATTCTCCCACTTGGAGGCTTGATAGTCATCAACTACCATCCACCACAATTCCATGTACATCGAGTAATCTTACTCAGCTCTTATGTTGCAGCGGCCCTCTCATCAGACAATTGAAAGGCCCGTTGAAGCTCTCCCAAGCTCCAACACATCAGTCAAGGCTAAATCTTCCCCTGACTTGTCATCGGTCCCTACCGGCTCCCACTGCAGATGCACACTGCCAGATCCTAGAACATCCTGAGAACAAACACTCTCCGTACTCAGCAAGAAATTTTCTGGAGATGTTCCAATAGCTAGAATACTGGTTCTCTTGACCCACTGTCTTCTAGAAAACTTGGCTGAAGCGCCTCTTGAGCTCCCACTACCATAAATACCTCTTACTGGCCTCCTTGAACCTTTCCTCACTCGTTCATCCTGAGTCTGACCTGTGGCTCTAGGTTTCTCTCTTGCATAGACAACCTTATTCTGCCCACGAGACTCTGTGAACCGGACTTTGTTTCTCTTCTGAACTGGGATGGTCACTCCCTCAGATGGTAACTCGACCATATACAACGAACCACTCTTCCTTCCGCGAGCCATGACAAGATTTCCCTTTACGACCTTCCACTGCTCATCTCTGAACTTCACCTTGTGTCCATGTTCGTCCAACTGCCTGACAGAAATCAGACTTTTCTTCAAGCTTGGAACCACTCTGACATCCTTCAAAGTCCAGAAACCGACTGGGGTCTTCAACACCATGTCACCCATGCCCGTCACCTCAAGAGCTCTATCGTCTGCAAGTCGTGCCTTTCTAAAGTCTCCAATAACTAGATTCTGCAATGTTTCACCGTTGTGGGTAGCATGAAATGAAGCACTAAAATCCATGACCCAGGAATCCACATTGTTTTCCTCAGAGCAAGTCAGAGTGACCTCCTCGTCACTCACAAAGCCTTCAGCAATGTTCACTTTCTTATCATTCGGGCATTGATTCCTAAAATGTCCCACCTCCTTGCACTTCTAGCACGTTACACCTGAGCTATCACAAGTTTTTGACTGACTCCTTTGTCTGTTCTTGCTCCCACTACCTCTGTTAATCCTTCTGCCTCAACCAACATGAAGCAATTCACCAGATGACTCTCCTGAACTCTTTCTTCTCACATCATCGCCAAAACAAGATCTCGAATCTGATCAAAGGTGAATCCATCAGGTCCCACTGAACCGATAACCGTTGTAACCATTCCGGACCAATTATCAGGTAAAGACGATAGCAGTAGTAAAGCTTGAACTTCATCATCAAACAGGACGGCGAGGGCGACCTCCTCGAACCAGCAGCGCGACTGAGGACGGCGGCGGTTTAGGATCTGTTATTGATGGCGACGGCTCCTCCACGCGGCGGCGGCTCCTTCTGCCGTTGCTCCTGCGTGCGGCGGTCTGTACGCAAACGGCGGCGGCGATCCTCGCGACGACGGTGGCAAGACCCAGCGGCAAACTCGACGAAGTTGCACCCTCTCTCGCTCCTACCGCGGTCGACAGCGGCACTACGAGGGGATGCTGCGGCAGCTCGCAGACTGATAGCGAACACCTGCGTAGCACTCTCCCCCTCCTAGAACAGGCGGCACTACTCTCCTTTACAGTGGAGATTCGCAGCGGCTCCTGTTCGACTGCACCAGGACGGATGAGCGGCTACTCTCAGATTGGACAACAAGAATCTCATATCTCTCCCGGCACGCACAGATCTGAAAAACCCTAGGCGACAAATTTCTCACAATTTGCGCTCGTGTTGAATAACCTCGCTCCGATACCACTTGTTGGGAATTAGACACACAACACACACAAATAATCGGCGAGAAACGAGAGAAACGGAACACGGACGACACATAAGAATTTAACGCGGTTCGGTTTTCCTACTCCACGGCTGCAACAGGAGGATTTCTATTTCACTTGTCGTGTCTCACGGAATTACAAGTACAAAGACTAATATATAGGAGAAAAACCTAGGGTTACAAAACATGGACCGAACCTACAAGTCAAGCTCAAGCCTCCACAAACCCAACAAACAAAGAATATATGGTGCATATTTTGAAATCTTAAATAATAATACGGAGTATGAAAAGAATATGCATAATATAAAAATCTAGCTCGCATAAGTAGATATACAAATTGTCTTGCTTGTCATACAAAAACGCACACATATATTTCTCAATCAACATCAATCAAGAAAAGGAGAAATAATTGGCTCCGATGTTGAAAGTTGAAATCAAAGTAAACCAAAGAAATTAAAAGCCAAAGAACATTATATTATTAGAATAAAATATATACACATATGGGATATTTGATGCCGTGATGGCATTCTTATGTTATTCTTTTATCCTACTTTGCTTTGCTTTGTTCATTAGTATGTATCTTTTTCTTCCCCTTTTTTTTCATGGATTGGACGATAAGAACGTCATGTTTCCTTTTCACACAACCACAATTTGTCTAGCTAAAATCTAAAGGAAATTTCATAAAAGAAAAGAAAGAAAAAAATTGATGGCAGACAATGTATGCATGCATGCACACAAGCCCGGGCGGAGACCGCGCACTTTAATTGAATTCCTTTCATCCCTATCGAGACGTTTTTGTATTACTATCAATGCCTTCTCTTCACATTTGGGTTTGGATATATTAATTTTAAGATATATGACTGCTTGAGTGCTTCACATCCAAGATTATATTGTGAGAAAATTTACACAAATGAGACTTAAACATGTCACTTTTTAAAAAAATAGGACCAGTCCTATGGACCTATGATGGTGCAAGTGGGGTCACTTGCACCCACTCCAGAAAGAATTCTTTTTTAGTAGTAGTATATGTAATTAGGTATTGGGTAATTTACTTAAATAGGACTAAACATAATGATTTTCTCAATATAGGACCATATATTTTTATTTCACAATATAGGACCATATGTTTTTATTTCCCAATGTAAGACCATTGGTCATTATCTATTAGTCATTATTCAACTAAATATCCAACATCACTTGGACATTATTCTTCTCACTAGTCATTATTAAGTCCTATTTAGGAATAAAAAAGTTTAAATCCTACATTTCGAAATGACTTATGTTTTAGTCCTATTTAATACAAATTTCACTTAGGTATTATATGTAGACCTAAGAGCGTCCAATGAGAGTATATTTATATGTGATTAGGTGTTATTCTTTGAAAATAGAACAAAGGACACATTTTATAGTTGTGTAGAATTTTTTTTAATTCCTTTAGATTTGAAAAACTGATTTAACTTTCATTATAAAACTTAATTATAAAATGTTCAATTTTTTTCTAAAATGTATAAAAAAGTTTAATTTCTATAAAAAGATTCCTAAAATATACTTACTGTTTGAAGAAATGTCTAGAATTAGTACTTTAGTTGTTTAGTTTTTTTTCTTTTTTTGGTTAAAAGAATGAATGTATTATGATTTTTATGCAGTATTTTAAAAATATTACATACAACTCGCAATATTAATCTCAGAATGCTATTCATTGATACTTTTTTACCTTTAAGGCTTTAGATTTATTGCTACAAAAATATCAACATTTTCATTTAGTGCACAAAATGTGAACCCACTCACCGAAATTCTTGAGTCTGCCACTAGTACTATTTACTCTAACGTTTGGTAACGAAAAGTTCTAAAATGTCTTGCTTTTGAAAAAATGACTTATTACACAATTCAAGTAGAATAAAACATTATTAAAAAGAATTTGAATAGTCATTAAAATTATTAGTCATTATCCAATACTTATTGGGAATGACCACATTCATAGAGTCATTCGTATAATCAGTTATTATCCAACACTTGTTGATAATGAGAGCATATATGCCAAATCATGTGGAAATATATTTCATAAATGGAATAAAACATGTTCGGTCTTATTCAGGAAAACGTGCAACCTTTTAGTCCTATATGGAACAAATTTTTCTATATTGTACTCAAAATGACTTTGTTACACAAATACCCCTATAGTTAGGTAAATGTGTATCGTTGCCTCCATGGTTTCAAAGCTTACGTCAATGTCCCACATGATTCCCATATTGTTAAGGCAATGCCCTCTAGACAAAAATAACTTTCCACTGCCCTCTATAGTTTTCAAAATGGGCACCAATGCCTCCTCTCATTTTTCTTTATTGTTTTTCTTTTTCATTTTATTTTTTCATAAAGAGAAAAAAAATGTTATATTTGAAATAATGAAAAAAAATCAAAACTATAATAATGATTTTTTTTCAAAAATATATTTTAAAAAAAAGTTTTAAAAAATAAAAAATGTTTGTGTTTGAAATAAAAAATGAAATAAAAAAATTAACATACACTCCGTATTTCATTTGTCAAATAAAATATTTTAATTTTTTGTGTAAAATGTTTTTTTTGAATATGTCGGACCAAAAGAATGCTAAGTAAGGTCTCTTAATTTTATTATATTTGTAATTATATATTAAAAACTTTTTTAGACCGATGCACAAGAGGTTTCCTTCATGACTTAATTTTTCTTATACTATAAAAGTATTTTTACATAAATTTTTTTATTTTATTTTCTATTAATTTTTCTTTTATTTTAATTTTGATTAAAATAATAGAAACAATATAAGATAATTTTAAAAAAAGGAAAAAATTAAATAAAGAAATCATAATATAAACAAAAAAAGAGAAATGAGTTTTAGTGTAAAAAAAGGTCATTGATTTTGTTTTTATGAAAACTAACTAATAAAGACGTCTTTTGAAATATAGCAATTTATTTACTTCATAACTCACTGCTTTTTTTTGTAAGTTGCAATTATTTTTCTTCAGCGGCACTTCGAATAGCTTTTTTTTGATACTATATTATTTGAGATAAGTGGGATTATTTTTGAAAGAGCGTGAAAATGTGATATTATTTGAGATAATTTTTTCTTAAAACATTATAAAAATAAATTTAAAAAATAAATAAATAAACATTTATGAAAAAAGTAGTAGAAAAAAAGAAAAATTAAAGAAAAAAGAGAGGGGTGTTGGTGCCCATTTCCAAAGCTATAGGATGATCGGAGTTATTCACCTAATATTTGAAGGTTATTTTAGTCTAGATAAATTAATATAACAATATTATAACCATGAAGGGCAACGGCATAAGTTTTGAGATTATGACGGTTAATGATGCACATTTACCAATTCACAGGGGTATTGATGTAATAAACTCTACTCAAAATGGATAGACCTTCTTAGATCAATAAATAAATTAAGAAAAATTTGCACTAAATAAGACTAAAACATAAGACATTTCTCAATGTAGGACTTAAACTTTTTATTCTCTAAATAAGACTTAATAATGTCTAGTAAGTGGAATAATGTCCATTAATGATGGACATTTGCTTGAATAATGACGAGTGGACAATATCCAATGGTCCTATATTGGAAAATAAAAACATATGGTCCTATATTATATTGAGAAATTCATTATGTTTAGTCCTATTTGGGTAAATTACCCATAAATTAAACGTTTATCCATCATAACTCTATATAAGAATTTATACTAATATACGTTAATGTTTATGATGAATTTTTAGATAGACCTAATATAATATACATGATACGGCATCTATTACGGAGGAGTCCCCAGAGCTTGGGGAAACGAACCGGTCCAATAGCATTACAATGGAGCACAATCTTAGACGTTCCGGGCGAACGGTTAAACCACCGGCCCGTTTTAAAGACTTTATTTAATTTACTACTTTATCTCATATTATTGATGTACTTTTAGATTTTCCTAGGTGAGTGGAATTATAACACTCCTTCGAAGGTTTCTTTACGTTTCTTTACTTCGTCGCTTTTCTTGAACCGTCAGGTTAGACAACATAGATTAATTAGGGTTTTTGGACTTCTCTAACTCTATATAAAGAGATGTTCCCATATCATATTAATTATCAAGGAAAAGTAAACCCTAATTCTCTCCACCTTTCTTCCCTCCTTTCTCTCTGCCGTGTAGCCTTCTCCTCCTTCTCTGTACGTCCAAACCCTCTCCTTATTTCCCATGTATTATTGGTGCTCTCGNCTTCGAAGGTTTCTTTACGTTTCTTTACTTCGTCGCTTTTCTTGAACCGTCAGGTTAGACAACATAGATTAATTAGGGTTTTTGGACTTCTCTAACTCTATATAAAGAGATGTTCCCATATCATATTAATTATCAAGGAAAAGTAAACCCTAATTCTCTCCACCTTTCTTCCCTCCTTTCTCTCTGCCGTGTAGCCTTCTCCTCCTTCTCTGTACGTCCAAACCCTCTCCTTATTTCCCATGTATTATTGGTGCTCTCGTTTTTCTGGACTCAACATGGCGGAGGAAATTCCCTCGTCATCCGTGACATTCAACATCTCGCCCTCTACTGATGATTTGCTCAGCGCTCTCCAAAACTTGGCATTGGAAATTCGCACAACTCGGCAGGAGCATCTCGCTTTAGCGCAGCGTGTTGATCAAGGCTTCGCAACCATATTGGACGCACGACAGCCTACCACTCCCCATAACCGTGGTATCTTGGGAAACACGCCAACAAGAGGTCGCCGGCCTCCCCTTATTCCGCCTGGGTTTCCGGGCCATGACGAAACCCACGAACGAGGTATGCCGAAAGTACGTTTTGATGCACCCAAATTTAATGGCCAGGATTCCGCAGGTTGGATTTACAAAGTGCAGTCCTACTTTGATTACTTTCGGACCCCCGAGGACCTCCGTCTGCGGCTGGTTGGTTTGCTATTCGAGAATCCCGCGTCCGATTGGTTTCTTTACCAACATAATAATCACCTTATTACATCTTGGCGGGGTTTTCTTGAAGCCGTTAAGCAACGTTTTGATCCGACGCATTATGAGGATTACATGGGCCTTTTATGCAAATTACAACAACGTACGTCCGTTTTGGATTATCAAGCGGAATTTGAGCGGCTTTTGAACAAGATTACAGGGGTTCCGGAAGTCACATTGATCTCCGTTTTTACTGCCGGGTTGAAGGTCCCCATTCGCCGCGAGGTTCTTCTTTGCCGACCTTATACGTTGGGCCAGGCTTTTGCCCTTGGCAGAGAACTAGCCGCAAATCACTCCGACATGGTTTCCGCCATATCCACATCGGCCCGTCGCCCATGGCAGTCACTCACTGCGCCTTCCAGTACCAACCCACCTGCACAGCCCCAGGGTTCTTCCACGGTACTTCCTGCCAGTGGGGCTATGGCCGCTCGTTCTTCTGGTTCCTCCCTGTCTTTGCCTATCAGGAGATTCAATAATGCTGCGCGGGATGAACGGACGGCCAAAGGATTGTGTTGGACTTGTGATGAAAAATATGTCCCAGGCCACAAATGTCCCAACCGTTTCATGGCCCTCATCGGTGAGGAGGAGGGAGATTGGTCATCCGCAACCGAGTTTCCCGTGGATGAGGAGCTTTCATTGATTACAGGGGATATTTCTAGCATCAATAGTTTAACCGGGTGCCCCAGTCCGCGTGCCTTGAAACTGCAGGGGCAAATTCAGGAACATCTGGTGCAGATTTTGATCGACGGTGGGAGTACACATAATTTTATCCGCCCGGCAATCGTGGAGCAGTTGCGGTTATCCATGCGTTCCACGCCGCTGGTTCGCGTGTATGTGGGCAACAGTGCCTCCCTCCCATCCACCCACCATTATGTGGCCATTCCATTGACTTTGCAAGACCTCTCTCTTGTCGTTGATTTATTTGTGCTTGATATTCATGGCCCCGATGTCGTGCTTGGCGTACAGTGGCTGCAAAGTTTGGGAAAGATCGCCCATGACTACACCGCCTTAACTATGGACTTTGTTTTTAACGGTCGTCCGGTGACTCTTCGGGGGGATACCCCCGACAGCACGCAAGTTTCTTATCATGGATTACAAGCCTTGTACAGATGGGTACGAACTGACTCTGTGTGACTCCGCCGCCTCGGCTATAAATTCTACAGATTCCGCTTTGCCCGAGGATCTGCCAGTCGTACTACGGGCTGTTTTGGAATGGCACCAGGCCGTATTTTCCATGCCTACTGGTTCTCCTCCGGCACACCCTTGGGACCACCGAATCCATCTTCTCCCCGGGACAAAACCTATCAATGTTAGGCCGTATCGTTATCCATACTTCCAGAAGGCGGAAATTGAGAAACAGGTGCAAGAAATGTTAAGCCAGGGTATTATTCAGCATAGTCACAGCCCATTTTCTTCTCCGGTTCTCTTGGTAAAAAAGACGGATGGGTCCTTTCGTTTTTGTGTGGATTACCGCGCCCTAAATGCCGCCACTGTGGCGGATAAGTTCCCCATTCCTACGGCCGATGAGTTATTCGATGAATTGGGGCAGGCACACTTCTTTACTAAATTAGACTTACGTTCCGGCTACCACCAAATACGCATGCATACGGCGGATGTCTTCAAAACAGCCTTTCGGACTCATGATGGCCACTTTGAATTCCTTGTGATGCCGTTCGGCTTAACCAATGCCCCATCGACTTTCCAAGCGGCAATGAATCACATTTTTACTTCTTTCCTACGCAAGTTCGTGATTGTATTCTTTGATGATATTTTGGTTTATAGTGCGACCTTGGAGGATCATGTTGGCCATCTGGATTCGACACTTCGTACTTTAGCACAACAGCACTTCTTCGTCAAGATGTCCAAGTGTTCTTTTGGCCGCCAGACTGTGGAGTATTTGGGCCATCTGGTATTGGGAGGGGCACTTCGAGCCGATCCTAGTAAGCTTGAAGCAATGACCGCGTGGCCCACCCCGAAAACCCCTCAGCAGTTACTGGGATTCCTAGGGCTCACTGGGTATTACCGGCGCTTCACTCGTTCTTATGTGATGCTCGCCGCCCCACTCACATCATTGCTATAGAAAAATGCCTTCCAGTGGAATTTAGCGGCAGCAGAGGCCTTTGAATGCTTAAAATCAGTCATGACCACTCCTCCAATTTTGCGCCTTCCAGATTTTAATGATACATTCATTGTGGAGACCGATGCCTCCGACGAGGGTATCAGCGGGGTTCTTATGCAACAAGGGCATCCTCTTGCATTTTTTAGCAAACGATTGGGTCCTTGTTGTCGCCTAGCATCTGCCTACCACCGCGAACTGTATGCGATTGTGGAATTCGTGCATAAGTGGCGGCAGTATTTACTTGGTCGGGAATTCATCATCCGGACGGATCAACGGAGCTTAAAGGAATTACTTTTTCAGGTTGTTCAAACACCCGACCAGCAGTACTATCTTCGCAAGTTAATGGGTTTCAAATTCCACATCGAATATAAATCGGGGGCAACCAATCGCGCGGCCGATGCTCTCTCGCGCTGGGAGGAAGCCGACAGTACGGCCGGGGAGTTGTTCCAGATGTATGCTCAGCCCCTTCCAGATGTTCTCCATGACATCACGAAGGAAAATGGGGAGCTGCCAGACCTGGTCGCCATGCACAGAGCCGCGACCGAGGGGTCCTTACCCGCGCCGTATAGTATTCACGTCGGTATCATATATTATAATCATTGCATCTGTCTGGGCATTACTTCAACTCTCAAACACCGTATCCTTGAAGAATTCCATTCCTCTCCCAGCGCGGGCCACCCCAGAGTGGAGTGCACCTTTTGGCAGGTGGCGGCTATCTTCTATTGGCCCCGGATGCGGCAAGATGTGCGCTTGTTTGTGAATGCATGCCTTATCTGTCAATCTACTAAATATGATACCCACAGGTCGGGGGGTCTTTTGTAGCCACTGCCCATCCCGTCACGAGTGTGGGATGACATTTCTATGGATTTTATCACGGGCTTACCACCTTCGCGGGGTTTTACGGCTATCATGGTGGTAGTGGATCGCCTTAGAAAATACGCCCACTTTGCCCCTATGCCTACATCCTTTGATGCCCCAAAGGTCGCTGCACTTTTCGTGGAGACAGTTATCAAGCACCATGGGTTTCCAGCAACCATAATATCTGACTGCGATCCCATCTTCATGAGTACTTTTTGGCGAGAACTTTTTACCTTAAGCGGAACGACTTTGCGGCGAAGTACGGCATATCATCCCCAAATGGATGGGCAAACAGAGGTGATGAATCGTGGCTAGGAGAAGTATTTAAGGGCCTTTTTCCACTCCCGGCCATCTCGCTAGGTGTTGTTTTTGGCGTGGGCCGAATTCTCCCGAAATACCACGTACCATGAGGGTATTCGCATGTCTCCATTCCAGGCCTTATATGGTCGTGAACCTCCCTCCTTGGTCTCGTATACAGTGGGTAGTAGCAAGGTGCAGCGAGTAGATGAGTTACTCACTGAATGGGAGGGCCTTATTTCTGACCTGAAGCGGAACCTGACTGCCATGCAGCAACGGATGGCCGCCCAAGCTAACAGCCACCGTCGCCACATTGAATATCAAGTCGGAGACCAAGTTCTTCTCAAGCTTCAACCTCATCGGCAACACTCAATCGCCCGCCCACAGCCCGCCAAGTTAGCTTGCCGATATTATGGGCCGTTCTCCATCCTTGAGCGTGTTGGCAGTGTTGCTTATAAACTGGAATTGCCACCGGATTCTCGCATCCACAATGTTTTTCACGTCTCTTTACTACGACCTTTCGTGGCCGGTGCACACCACCCTCCTCTGGCTACTTTACGGCGGGACTGCCAAAATGGTGCCCCACTGTCGGTCCCGACACGGGCCATCTCGATATGCACGATTCTTCAACAAGGCACACCTACGGAGCAATGGTTGGTTGTTTGGTCAGATGAGGATGCGGCTAGTGCAACCTGGGAACCCGTACTGTCAATCTGACGCGCTTACCCGGACCTCGTCCTTGAGGACAAGGACGTTTTTGAAGGGGGGGGGGGGGTAATTGATACGGCATCTATTACGGAGGAGTCCCCAGAGCTTGGGGAAGCGAACCGGTCCAATAGCATTACAATGGAGCACAATCTTAGACGTTCCGGGCGAACGGTTAAACCACCAGCCCGTTTTAAAGACTTTATTTAATTTACTACTTTATCTCATATTATTGATGTACTTTTAGATTTTCCTAGGTGAGTGGAATTATAACACTCCTTCGAGGGTTTCTTTACGGTTCTTTACCTCGTCGCTTTTCTTGAACCGTCAGGTTAGACAACATAGATTAATTAGGGTTTTTGGACTTCTCTAACTCTATATAAAGAGATGTTCCCATATCATATTAATTATCAAGGAAAAGTAAACCCTAATTCTCTCCACCTTTCTTCCCTCCTTTCTCTCTGCCGTGTAGCCTTCTCCTCCTTCTCTGTACGTCCAAACCCTCTCCCTATTTCCCCTATATTAGTACAACTTAGANCTTCGAGGGTTTCTTTACGGTTCTTTACCTCGTCGCTTTTCTTGAACCGTCAGGTTAGACAACATAGATTAATTAGGGTTTTTGGACTTCTCTAACTCTATATAAAGAGATGTTCCCATATCATATTAATTATCAAGGAAAAGTAAACCCTAATTCTCTCCACCTTTCTTCCCTCCTTTCTCTCTGCCGTGTAGCCTTCTCCTCCTTCTCTGTACGTCCAAACCCTCTCCCTATTTCCCCTATATTAGTACAACTTAGAATTTGTCTTTTAAGATGTCGAAAAGTGAGTGATTGAGATTTTTTTAATGGGTTAATTCATATTTCATTCAAAACAAATTCTATATGTCCCAAATAAAATGTTTTATGATTCAAAATGAAGCTCAATGGACCTTATTTTCAATTCAATTTTATAAACAATTAATACTGTCAAATATTAAATAGGACCGATAGTAATTACTATGGAAAAGAGAGTTAGGACGTAAGTAGTTGACCGTTTACCTACTAGTTTTTTGTCTGGTTAGTCTCTCTCTTACTCTCTCATATAGCATTGATTGCATCTTTCTCAAGCAATTATGGTTGTCGAATTGACGCCGAATTGAATCACGATATAGGGTTTGAACAAAAAGAACAACAAATGGATGAAAGGGAAAAGAGAACGCTATGGGAGAAATTCCACTCTAGAATTTTGATAAAAATGATACTCCCTCCTTCCCGGAGTATTCGTCTAGTTTTGACTTTTGGAACTATTCATCTAAGCACTTTGACTCACCAAATTCTCTCAATGTGTAAGCCTAAATATAGTCATGTCATGTGTGATCTTATTTGATTTGTCTTAACATATAGATTATTAATATATAATTTCTATAATTTTTAATATACAAATTACAAGATAAAATGGATTAAAAAAGTGTATTGGATGGTGTGTAAAAATGAAAGTGGACAAATATTCTGGGATGGAGGTAGTATAATTCAAGTCTCACCAAAATTTGCCCACAATTCGGGCTTAAATAGATGAAATAGTGAAGTAGGGTGAAATCGTAAAGGAGCAAAACAAATTGAGCTAGAAAAAATAAAGGTCGTAAGGCCCAAAAAACTAAAATGAAAAAATGGAGGCCTTAAGGATGGAATTTGGGGTTGAAAACAAACCCTAGCTGGGTTTGCCTCTCTCTGAGACCTTTCCGAATTGAGGTCGCACACTGAAAAACAGACGCTCGCAGCCAAAGTTATGGCTAAAACATTGAGACACCCTTGAATGTCGTTTCCGTTTCTTCACGTCCTTGGGCTTGTCTTATTCTTCATAACAAATAAGCGTCAAATTAGTTAGATCCAATAACTCTGACTCGTCTAGATCCTCTACTCCTGCGTCACTCTTTCATCTCTTGGTTCAACACTTCAGCCTCCACAACTATCTCTCTAGCACTATTTGTATTAACCAGAGTGCATCGGAAATAATCAATTGAGATGATCTATACATACAGATCGATTAGATAGGATGTTGAGAGGATGTTATAGCATTGCTCATGGAAAAATTGAAAAATAGGATACTATGTCATTTTTTGTGTCACATGGACACACAAAAAATAAAGTAAAAGCAGTAAACAGTGCACAATAGTGTGTATACACGTTTGGGGAAAAATCATTCTACCTTTTGGGGCACCCCACACCCGTGCAATAGCTATTTACTAAATCTTAGAAGCAGGCTACACCGGTCAATAACAACACGCTGAGACATACTTCTCCATATTGTTATGACAAAACTCTAAAGTATTACTTTGGAAAAGAACCCTATTCGAGCCTTCTTTGCAACTATCACAGCTTCACCTAAGTATCTTGAAGGACGAGTTAGTAGCCCTAGTTCTAGAATCAATTTCTCAAAATCTAGACCGTGTAGATCAAGAGATGACAAGTGAATGCGTCTCTCTTCTATGCGCACAATCACTCCAGTAGAGAACGACTTGTTTAACTCCTTCACGTTTTAGATATGTATCAGATCAGCGTCCCTCAAATCACATAGAGAGTGAATATTAAATATATAGTTTCCCATCTCTATCTTGCATGTATTTCTCTCCATTCTGTCGTGCAAGACATATAATATATATAGGCAAACATTTAACCCTAGCTAAGTAGGAGTAGGAAACCTCTTGTAGCAAGCCTCATAGGAGTAAGACTTCTCTTCCAATTGCAGATCAAGTAGGACTAAGACTCCTACTTTTAACTCTTGTTTTCCATTCTCCTGCATGTCCTAGGACTCTGTGCAATGGATAAATACCTCTTAATAAATTACATCCTTCTAGCGCATATCTCTGAAATTAAAATTAGACTTCTATAATTGCACAACTCCTAAGATCCAGTTTCTTCAACGTATAAAGGCAATTCTCCTTTAACCATACTAGTCATTTTCACCAGTTCTATTTCTTCATGCTCCTGGATTCCCCCTGCTTGGGAATCTCATGGCCTCCTTGATTCCTTTTATGGCTTTCCAGCTTATAAAGTCATATGCTTTTCTAAGGGTAATCTTCAGTCGGCACCTAGGAGATATGGATTTTCGTTTATATCCTCTTTTAAGTTCATGGCATAATAGACTATCATGCACTAACTCCCTCCCCTCTACAAAATCTCATTGATTGGAATTGATGAGATCTAGCAACACTTTTTTTAGTTTAGAACTCAGTATCTTTGTGATGATCTTATAAAGGACATTGCAACATGTAATTGGTCTAAAATCAGCCAGGGACTCCTTCTTTGGGATAAGAATGATATGGGTTGCATTCAAGTATTTAGGGAACTCCCCATTTTGGAAGAACTCATTAACTGCATTAATTACCAAATGACTAACAATATCCCAGTTTCTTTTATATCCATCCGGGCCAGGATTTTTAACATTAGGAATGGAGAAGACTGCATTCTTGATTTGTTTATAAGAGACAGGTGCAATAAGATAAAGTTGTTGATCATGCTCTAGGCAAGGGCCTGTTTTAATAACGTCTTCTTGACTGGGATCCGTCCAAGAGCTAATCCCAAATAGGTTCTTAAAGTAGTCCACCATAACATCTGCCACTTTATTTCTTCCTTTAACCTTCATCCCCTTGTTAGTTTGGATAGTAGTAATCTGACTAGCTAACCTTCTCTTTTTTATCCAGGCAAAGAATAGTTTAGAGCTTTGATCTCCATCTATTATCCAATGTTGTTTAGCCTAATGAAGTTTCATCATTTGTGAAACCTTGGTTTTGAATATAAGTTCCTCCAGACAATCCTTCTCCTTGGTAATCAGATCTTTGATTAATTAATTATGTCCACTTTCAGCCTCTTTTGGACATCACCAAGATCCTCCCATAAGCCTCCCACATTTAATATCAATTTGGTAGTAATTACTTTTATTAAGCCTCTTCAAATGACTCTTAAGATCTTTTACTTTATATATAATCTGATATATGTATATGCCATTAATATCCCTCCTCCACATGTCCCTAAAGATGATTTTAAAAGCTAGATCCAATTCGCACATATCCCCGTACCAGAATGATATATTCCTCTTGTCTTAAGGTTGAGTTCTAATCAGGAAAATACAATGATCTAAAATCCCTTCTTCAATAATCTGAATATTAGCTCTAAATTGGAGAAACCATTCCATATTAGCCATGGCTCTATCCAATTTGGAGGAGATTATATTCCCATGATCTTGTTTATTGCACCAAATGTAATAATAACTTTCACTAGGTACTCTTCTAACTCGCAGTTATTCATGCAATCCTTGAACTCCCTAGTTTCTTCATATGTGATGTTTTTTCCTCTAATTCTATCCAAATTTGAAAAAACCATTTAAATCCCCTATTATAATCCAACTATTCCTCATATCTTTAGAAATTCTTTCTAGATGTTCTCATATTTTCCTCCTGTCATGGGCATTATTGTGCCCATACACAAAGGTGAGGTAAAAATATTTTATGTCCCCAATACCCCTTCCTGATCACTCCATTCAAGAACCTTAACCTCAAACTTGCTTTTATTTCAAATTATTCAAATCCTTCCCAAGGGATGAGCTTCTTTATTCATGAAAGAACCCCATGCAGCTAGGAAATTATTCTCAACTTCCTCAAATTTATTCACCCTTATTTTAGTCTCTAAAAACCCCAACCAACTATTGTCATATTTATTAACCATTCTCCTAACTTCATGCTGCTTTAGAGGACTATTAAGTCCCTAACATTACAACTCCCTATCATGTGAGGAAGGGGTAGTGTCCATGATAGGGGCTTTTTTCCAACACCTTCTTAAGAGCAGCCATGGGATCTCCTTCATCAGTTTCAAGTTTCCTATTGGCTACTTTTTTTACCATTAACTTCAATGAAACCCTCCTATTCAGGATTACTGAACTCATCTTTCTCCTTCTTTCCTTCTTCATTTATTTCCTTCTTTGTCTCATTGACTATTATTGGGTTCTTACCTTCAGCAGCTGATTTAGGTTTCCAAACCAATTTCTTCCTCACATTATTAGCTCTCCCATCCGAAATTCTACAATTTTCTTGCATATGATCCAGTTTCCCACAATGTGAACAAATGCAAAGGAACCACTCATAAATATTTCGTTGTGTGTGCACAATGACCTCATCATCCACATAGGTGATTAATTGCAGAAACTCTTGCTGAACTTTTACTTCCACTTGAATTCTAGAATAAGCATACTTGGTTTTGTTAGAAGTTGGTCTATCCCTCTTTATAGGCTTTCCCACAAGCTTACTTAATCCAGACAAACTCTAGAACCTCATATCAAGATCTGGAAACTGTATCCGTATAGGAACATCATCTAAATTCTCTAGATTAATCTCCACTCCAGGATACCATTTTTGAATCAAAATAGGT